TGAAGTAGTTCACACTTTCCCAGCCTAACTGGTATTGTGCTCTCTTCAGTTAGAGGTTTTCGAAAAAATTCTTTAATTGTCCCAATTTTATAGTCTCGATGTTGTTACGACTACAAAATAAAACACAATTATAGCACACTTCTTTTTTTTTTCTTTTGGGTAAATAAAATGAACAGTAATATAAAATAACAAAAAGATTTAACTGGATTGATAGGGAATGCTGGGAAGGAGCAAGGGTTCTGTTAAACGAGAAACAATGGGTTTTGAGGTTTGGATTTGGGAAGAGTTGATCGAGTCGGGCCTAAATAATGTTGTTGCTCAGTTCAGCGGTAGAGAGTTTACGGATGTAGAAAAATGCGAGAGCAGTGAAGGCTAGGGCAGAAAGGGGATCGATTGCGCAGGAAGGAGGGATCGGGGGGAGGCATTCCGGTTGAGCAAGGAACGATACAGCAGAGAGGAGCGGCGTCGGCTTTGTGACGGCAGGGCGGATAAGACTCGGGTGAGAGCAGAGAGGGCTGCCAGTGATCAGGGAAGAAGCGGCAGAGGTTTGGCGGGCTAGAGCATAGTCGCTGACGGCTTGTTCTTGGGTATCGAAATAGGAACAGAAGTATATGGATTTCGACGCAGGAGGGGGAATCAGTGCAGGATTTTGAGGCAGGGAGAGAAATGAAACTTCACAAGCGAGGCGTGTGCAGTAATCGAGGTTGGGTTTGTTGCGAATATGGAAACCGATCTAATCTAATGACATGATGAAATTAATAAATAGGCATGCTAGCTCCTCTTGTAATCTACGTCGGAATTTGGTTTCATTCTGACGTTTCTCTTCTTGATGGTGGCTTTCGGGTAGAGAGAGAGAAGAGAGAGATTATTTTTTCTTGTATTCGTTGAGAGGATCGATGAGTGTAATTCTCAAGTAATAAAATCCTGTGCATCTTCGTGGATGTAGGCAATTTGCCGAATCACATAAATCTGTGTTTCCGTTGTGATTTTTTTTTGCGAATTTTTCTCAATCCGGTTTTTCACTTTATTGTTGTTGTTTTTCACAACTGGTAGCAGAGCTCAAGTTCAGATCTGAGGGACAGTGATGGCCGGAGATGATGTGATGACATAGGGGATCGAGAAGTTTAATGACACAAATTTTGATTATTGAATGATGCAGATAGAGGACTACCTTTATGAGAAGAAATATTATCTTCCGTTACTGAGAAAACAATCGGAAAAGATGAATTCTCTGCCAGTGAATCCAATTTGGGAGCTGACAGAACTTCCATCAGGGAAGAATACATTGCACAACAAGTACTGTACCTGATAAAGACTGCGCTTAATGACAGTAAGAGGTACAAGGCTATACTTGTTGAAAAGGACTTTCAACATAGGCAGGATATTGCCCATGTAGTGAGAGTTGTAATAAGATACATGAGTAACTCAGGAAAGAACTTGGAGGTACAGGATTATGTTGACGTTGATATGTCAACTAAGGGTGTTACTCTTAAAAAATTGAAGTTGTGCTCAACTCCAGTTGGTCTTCTAACATGAAGAAATGAGGCTTTGAGTTGCATAGATAAAAGATATCACGTTTGAAGAAAAGGGTGACGCAGCTAGTGGATGATGTAATCAGATCAGTCTCCAAGTGGAAGATTTGTTGCGAATATGGAAACCGATCAACTGTTCAAATTGACATTTTCTCATGTTTGACAACAAATTAGATTTGATATTCAAAATTAATTGTTATTAATTCCTTTTATGATTTGCTGCAGATGAGAAAAAGAAATAATTAATGAGTCTAATGACATGATGAAATTAATAAATAAGCATTCTAGTTCCCCTTGTAATCTATCTCGGGATTTGGTTTTCCTCTAGCATTTCTTCTTCTTGATGATGACTCTCTGGTAGAGAGAGAGATTGTTCTTTTTTATAATCGTCGAGGCAATCTACGGGTGTAATCCTTAAGTAATAAAATCCTCTGCAGCGCGAGAAATGGTGAGTGGTGAAATGTGACAAGTTAGGGCAGAGAAGTGAACAGGGACGAGTGAAGTACATCAATGTAGAGGAACACACAGGCTTTAACAGGGAAGAAGAACGACGAGGAAACACGGGTAAGTGGATTACGATTTCGTTGTGTAGATTTCATACGTGATGGATGGTGTGAACATAGGAAGAAGATAGAGTGAAGAAGCGCTTATGATTTTGATCCGGAGAGGAAAAAGCTGAGTGCAATGGGGACAAACAGTAGGAACGACAAACGAGAGAGAAGACGTGGAATGAGAGTGCAGAGGATATTTTGGAGAGACGTGTGCTTGAGCAGGCTGATGCTTTAACTGAAGAGGAGAGCGGGGAAACGGTTATCTCATTTTAGCGGGGGTTCAAAAACATAAGTAATTAATTTAATTATCTAATTAATTATATTATTTATTTATTTATTATTTCTTTTTCTTCTTTTATTTTTTTTATTTTTTATCTTTTTTAATTTATTACTGTCAGCAGATAGTTGCTGGGCTAAAACAGTCGGTGGTGGTTAAGAATCACCGGTGGTTGTTGGCTTCACGCTCTCTCCATGAGTTTAAATTAAGCTATTAACTTCTTTCTTACGTGTAAAACAGGCTTTTTTATAGTTAAATTTAGCCAAGATCTTGAAACACTGAATTAGAAAATCCATATCCATTCTTTTGATCACATAGATAATTCTTTTAACACTTCAGTTTTAAATAATCTCAGAATTAGATGAACTTGGCTCATTAAATGTCTATCAATGAGCTACTCGGTTCAAGTGCTTGATTTGAGTTTATTTGGACTCAGATTAAATAACTTTATCATATAGTTTATATTTTCAAGATATTCAACTTGACTATAGAGATTTGCTGAAACCGAGCTCAGATTGATTCTTGATGTTCTAATTCAAATTACATCTCGTGCTTGGTCATCTGAATGTTTTTGGTTAGCATATCAATACTGTATCCCATAACACTAAAAAGATAATTTACTGACTGAAAAATAAAATATCGAACTAAATAGTCCCAGTCTTCTTTGGCAATACTAAAAACTCTTTTGTTTATCCACCAAACAGATAAATTATAGATTTCACTTTTCGACCCCACTGATTGCCAATATGTTTAAAACCTGCAGATAACGAAGATGAGAACAGAAACGGCTTCGGCCGTGACATTTCTCATGTAAATGACTACTGCGGCATAGCGGAGAAATCTATGGAGAGGTTTGTTTCACTCATAAATTCTTTTAGGTACAATCCATCAGGTTCGCGTGCCAGCGGTCTTCGTCCTCCTCTAAAGGATGTAAGGAATACGTGTTCCATGAGGTATATGTAAAACCTTACTTTCCACATGCAGTTATTTCCTCTATTAAATTATAAACTATTTACTGCTATTTTTCATTTGATTTTCCAAAGGTCGAACAATGCTCCTGTTGATTTCAGTAAATTTGCATATAAACCAAGAAAAAATACTGCTCGTATTGTCTCATCGAAGTCCAAGTTTGATTGATATCATCAAAATTGTTTTTTGTTTTAATTTCTTGAACCCTTTTCATGTGGAGTTAATATGAGCTTCTGTTTTAATTTCTTGAACCCTTTTCATGTGGAGTTATATGAGCTTCGTTGTAACTAATATGTTGTATTGTATGCTAATTCCACATTGCCTCTTGTTGGTTGTCCATGTCTATGTTGTTCTATCCTAATTGTTTGGCTGGCAGGAGAACTTTAGATGTCTTTTTCTGTAATTTTTTAGTGGGAAATAGCATGTTCTTTTTTGTTTAGGAAAAGATGAGTGGCTGTTTGGGATTATTTTTATTGTTATTTTTAATTGTTTTATTTTAATATGAAATAAAATTAAAAGCTTATATTTTTTTATTTATGTGGTGATGGTGGTGCTTGTGTGGCCATAATGTTCCTTGTGATTGTTATAATGGCTACAATGAGAAGAACTAGCAGTCATTTCCTTATTACCTAATGCTCACTAATATAATTTAGTTATGCTTGGTCCACATCTTACTCTTGAAAAAAATTAACTATGTGCTGATATTGCAGATACCCGTACATTAAATAATAAAAGAGTTTATTCGAAATAGATTTTTAATGGGTGAAGTGGAATCTGTCCTGGCTATCGGGCAGAATGTATTATAATTCGAACTTGGATTGGTATAATTATAAGTTGTTCATGTTCGGTTTGAACTTGTGTCGAGATTTCATGTATAGTTTAAGCCTGACTTAACTTTTTTAATGTTTGAACCTATGATTTATATTTGATTTGTTTATGACAAGTGAACACTTGAATTTGTAAGTTTCTTTCATTCCTTTTTCTTAATTATATCTAATTTACAATGATTGCACAGCACTTTCTCAACGTTACTTTTAAATTGGGTAGAATTCTGGGTAGAATTTATGAGCAAAGTGGGAAATGGAGATACGAGAGACTAGAATTTCAGAGATTCTTGCACACTGCGATCTCGTCATTGAATTTGATGCTTGCACGCTTTAACAATTCAAGGTTTCATATAATTCAGGCGAAATTGGGAGACATAACTGTGAGAGGCCAGAGGGAATTTGAGGTTCGCAGGAGTTTAATGATAATTTTATGGGGTATTTCAAACATATAACATAAATCTTATATATTTTCACATCTAACACCTAAATTTGAATAAAATAAATATATAATTAATAATTAATTAAAAAATATTATTGATATGCTAATATATTACTATTAAATCTAAAATTAAATAAATTATAGTTAATTGAATTTTATTTAAGTAATATATAATATATAAAATGAGTTATCATCGTGCTTGTATCGAGTATTTAACAAGTTGTTGAACAACAAATGAGCTTATTTCTAAATATAAATGAATAAGTTTGACTATGTTCATATTTTGTTCATTCAAGTTCTGAGCTTTTAAAAATTGTTCAAGCTTGTTTAGTTATTAATTTGAATAAACATGATCGAGTCTTAATCGAGCCGAGTTTGAGTTGTCCATTGAGTGCATTGGTTAATTTCCAGCCCAAATCCTGGCCTATTGTGAGATAGGAAAATACCACTTAGATTTAAAAAGAAAAGTTTTATATGATAGTGGTGAGATTTGTAATGCTTTGGCCTATAAAAGAAGAGCATATAATTACTTTGAGATGATAATGCTCAAATGGATGAGTGGCGTTACACTTAAGAGACAAAATGTGAATCATCGTGAAAGGGATGGAGTAGCTCCAACTCCAATGATGGATAACATCAGAGACAGCCGCCTTAAATGATTTGGTTATGTTAAATGTTGACCATCTTTTGCTCTTGTTAGAAGAGTAAATATTTTTTATTTGATTATGTTAAGAAAGATAGAGGTAGATCTAGAAAGACATGGGCATATTGTATTAAAAATGATCTTAATTTATTAGAATTTCTTCACAAAATCATATATATATATATATATATATATCTATAT